GACGTGAGCGGGTCGGGTGCAGACGTGCGCGAGGTTCGCGCTAGGCTCCTTCGTCGGGAATCCCGGCTGCTCTCTCCGTGGGGCGCTGTCGCTTCCTCCGCCTCGATCCACCGGTTGAGCACGCTACGCCTCTTCAGGGAGCCTCGCTTCCTTCCGAGACCCCACTTTCCACAGTAGCCTTCCGCAGACCTGAACCGTTTCCGACTCAGGCCCGGGACTCGGGAGGCCAGGGCCCAGGCTCTGTGTGATTTCCTGTTTTTTTTTTTTTTTTGAGACAGAGTCTCGCTATGTAGATCTGGCAAGGCTGGAATTCTCGGAGATCCTCGCATCTCAGCCTCCCGACCTGGGGTCATAGGCGTGCCCAAGCGACTTCTCTTTAGTGTATTCGAATGCATATCCCTTTGCCTCCCCTGGTCATCTGTAGAGAATTCTTTCTTCCTCGTGTCTGGCCCCTCTGCACACTTAGCGTGGTTTTGGGTTGTATTCCTGCTGGCCGTGCTCGCCTGGCCAGACCACCAGTACTAAGCCACTGTCCCACTTGGATCTTTGTAGATCTCTAACCCTGCAGAGCATGACTCTGCTGGGTCATTCTTAAATCATGCACAATTTACTGTATCACATGCTCTCTCAGTTGGAAATAGTCCAGAAGTGGCACACAACTAATCCCAGATACGCCGGTGGCTGAGGCAGGAAGATGCTAAATTCAAAGTAGCCTGGGAAATTTAGAGAGCTCCTGATTAAAAAGCTGGGCATGGTGGCACAGGTCCATAATCCCATCAGTGTGTTAGGCTGAGGCAAGAGGCTCCCAAATTCAAATCCAGTCTGGTCAGTGTATCGACACAGCAAGAGACTGTCTCAAAAAATTGTAAAAAGGGCTGGGCAAGTATCTCTGTTGAAAGTCCAGGGTTCAGGGCAGATGTGGTAGTGCATACCTGTGATCTCGGCATTCGAGAGGCTGAGGCAGGAGAATCCCCACAATTTTGAGGCCAGCTATAGTGAGAACTGTCTTAAAAAAAAAAAACCCACCCTGAAAGCCCAGGGTTTAATGTCCAGTATCACAAAGTAAATTAAAAAGTAAAAGGACTAGGGATGCACTTCAGGGGTGCAGACCCCCTGGGTTCAATTCAGTACCAGAACCCCCGCCCCAACACACACACAAAATAAATTGTGAGGGACTGTGTCGACTTCATTGCTCGACCAGGAAACCTGCAATTTGTTTCTCTCATCGCCACAAACAGGAAGACTAAATCTGCAAACACCACAGTGCTAGTTTAACTGGGAGAGAAAATTGATTCCAGAACTGGAAGGGGCCTAAGAGCCTTCAAAGTCTTTCTCAGCCCAAATTCTCATGGTTGTGCAGTTCAACTGTCAGCTGGTGGTGTTCATGCTGCAGACCCTGACACATCCGGGACTCAGAGAGGGGACTGGAAGCCAACCTGCCAGCACTCAGTGGATGCTGTGTGTGCTGGGTCCTGGTCTAAACAGCAGCCCCACAGACATGAAGTAGAAAATAATACACAAACCAACACATAAGTACATCAGAAAGTGCCAAGTATCTGGCTCCGTGAAGAGTCGCATTGAAACCAGGCGTGGTGGTGCACACCTGTAATCCCAGCACCCGGGAGGCTGAGGCAGGAGGATCACTGCAAATTCAAGGCCAGTCTGGGCTATGTAATGAGTTGAAGCCCATCATGGGCTACATAGCAAGACCCTTTTCGCTCCACACTCACACATGGCTTAAAGTGATGTGCTTCCCATTCTATTTTAACTTGTGCATTGATTAGCATGGATACATTCTGAGAAAGACATCAGACAATTTCACTGTTGTGCAAACAGAATGTGCTTAACACAAACCTATGTGGTATGGCCAACTACAGACCTAGGCACTCCTGAATACAGTAGGGAATTGTAAATAAGCACAGTATAAAAAGGCTGGGAGCTCTGTCAGTTTATAGCATTTGGCTAGCACGAGCAAGTCCCTGTATTTTTGTTTTGCTTCAAGGTAAGATCTCACTTCATAACCCAGGTTGGTCCCACACTCACAGCAGTCCTCCTGCCTCAGCCTTCTGAGCAGTGGGGTTACAGGCATGGGAGATTAGATGTGGTTTTTTAAATTTTATTTTTGCTTTTTATGGTACTGGGGATTAAACCCAGGACCTTCACGTTGAGATACATCACTTGAGACAGAATTTTGCTAAACTGTGTGTGAGTCAGATGTGGTGCCCACCTGTAATCCCAGCATTTGGGAGGCTGAGGCAGGAGGATCACCAGGAGTTCAAGGCCAGTCTGGGCTACATAGTGAGACTGCCTCAAAACAAAATACTAAACTGTACATGTGTTAATGAGGATTGAATTCAGGGCTGTTGTGCTGAGCTACATCCCCAGCTCCCCCTCCCTCCGACTTTTGTTTTTCTTTTTTCTTTTTGGTACTGCGGGTTGAACTTAGGTCCTGAGCTTGCAGGGCAGGCAGCGGAACCACTGAGCTAAATCCCCAATCCTTTTCTTTCTTTTGAGACGGGGTCTCGATGTGTATTTCAGGTTGGCCTTTGACTCACTATTTAGCCCACGCTGGCCTCAATCTTGTGGCAATCCTCCTGCCTCAGCCTCCTGAGTGCTGGGATTACAGGCATGTGCCCACACCCAGCTATCTTTTGTTTTTTTTTTAAATCTGTATCCATTGAAGTCTCCAGTTGCCAGTTTCTTCAGCTCCCTGTGTGGCATATATGATATAAAAAGAAAACGCAAGGAATTTACCACCTTGTCATCGCTCAGCTCCTAAAGTCCCTAGTTACTTGACCTGCTTCTTTCAGGGTCTTCAATCTTTTAGTGAATCTTTCCTGGGGATATCTGGTTGTACTTCCTGGAGGGGAGAGGGGGTATATGTACAACAACTTCCTGGAGATAGACGTCCTGCCCACCGCTTTTGGTTTTTTTGTTTGTTTATGGTACTGGGTATCAAACTCGGGTCCTTGCACTTGCAAGACAGGCGGCAGAACCTCTGAGCTAAATCCCCAGCTCTGCCCAGTGTTTTGCAAAGACGACCAGACCATGCTCCTCACCGGATTCACACTCCCAGCAGCATTTGGGCTTCAGTCATCACGGATGAAGACCCAGTCCTGTTTGTGGCTTTGTGAGAGGCTTCCCAGGGCCCAGCCTCCCCTGCAAGAAACTGCAGTGCCTGACCATTTAACACCAACTCTGAGCATGCAGGGAAACTTCCTGTGCAATATTTGCTGATTTCTGAGAATCCTACAACTGGAGCCAACTTTGAGACCCCATGATGGTGGCTAACTGTGGGAAGGAATAATAACAAGTGATGAGCATATCTTTGCAGATTTGCTTTAGATCAAGCTCTTCCTTATCCACCAGCCGATCCTGCTTTACCAAGGTGCACCCCGAAGTCTCCAGCATCTACCCCCTATGCAGGACTCAAGGTCCCCTTCCCCCATGGCCCTGAGAGTGCACAGGTGCCTGCATGCCTGTGAGGTAGCTTGGTACCTGCCAGCTTATAGGAGCAGTTGGTAGGGCCAGGGATTTAGCTCAGTGGTTCCACCGCCTGCCTTGCAAGTGCAGAAACCTGAGTTTGATCCCTGGTACCAAAAAAAAAAAAAAAAAAA